ACGGTTTTCTTAAAGTAGGAACGTTTTAACCTGTGCGGCCAGAGCGCTCCTCCTTCCTTCTGCTCTGCGTAAACCTGAACTGATCACCTACTTGTGCGTAATCACATGTCAATAGGGGACAAGATATAGCCATGATGTTCACTTTTGCCTCAGACCGACTTATTGCTGTTTTATGGTGTGGCTGAATCTGCGATCCGCTGTCATGCGGACCGGAATAACAAATGCTGCAGTAACAGGACTTGTGGTCAGGTTCATGAGGAGTCACTGGCTGTAGCGGACCAGACTCATCCCAGAAGCTAATATCTTAATTTGACCTTGAATGAAAAAATAACCTCTTAAAAGTTGTTATCACGGTGGAGGCAGCGTTCATTTCTGCCTTCAGTCCTGACGGCGCGCCGGAGTTAAAGCAGCATGTGCGCTTATTGAATCTGTGTGTGTGTGCGCGCGCGGCACAGCCGCTCAAGTCACCGCGTCTCGCGCTATTTAAACCAATGTTGTAAAATTCCTTCTGCCCAGCCCAGATGTTGCTCACTTGTGCACCCGTGAGCCGTGGTTTCCGCTGGAACGCGTCTGACCTCTGACAGACGCACTCTGAACTTCAGATCTTCAGCGCGCTGTTTAATAGCCTGAATGGGAATCATTTTCTTGTTATTTAGTTACATCCACAATGTTCTGTGTGTGAGGTTTTACAACGTCAGAACACCTGCAATGAGACAGGTGTCAACTACAATCTGCCAGAATGACTCACCACCTTCAGATTTCCTCCAACACCGATAAAAATGATCAAATACGGAACATATCGGCGTGCGCAGGCCAGAGTGCTGAAGCTCGGCGCATTGTTATTTATGAAAGCTAGGGCACATGTGGAGGGACACGCGCGCACAAAAATATACTTGTTTTCAATTACATTTATTGGGCCCACTTACTTTTTTCTTTTGGCCCACCCACAAATGAGTTTCTACTCTAATGGTGACATATGATAGGACTTCTCTGAGCTCCGCAGCCATTACACTTTTTCACCCTAGTGGCAGCTCGCGCACCCCCAGGGGTGCGTGCACCACACTTTGGGAATCCCTGGAATAAATTAGATGGATTACAGTAATAAATAAAATGGATTACAGTAACAAATAAGATAGAGTACAGTAATAAATAAGATAGTTTACAGTAATGAACGAGAATGGATTACAGTAATAAATAAGATAGATTACAGTAATAAATTAGATGGATTACAGTAATAAATTAGATGGATTACAGTAATGAATTAGAGGGATTAGGTTAATAAATTAGATGGATTACAGTAATAAATAAAAATGGATTACAGTAATAAAATAGATGGATTGCAGTAATAAATAAGATTAGAGTACAGTAAATGAAACAAGATAGATTACAGTAATAAATGAGATGGATTACAGTAAATAAATTAGAGGGATTAGGTTAATAAATTAGATGGATTAGGTTAATAAAATGGATTACAGTAATAAATAGATGGATTACAGTAATAAATAAGATAGAGTACAGTAATAAATAAGATAGAGTACAGTAATAAATAAGAGTTTACAGTAATGAACGAGATGGATTACAGTAATACATAAGAGATTAAAGTAATAAATTAGAGGGATTAGGTTAATAAATTAGATGGATTACAGTAATAAATAAAATGGATTACAGTAATAAATAGATGGATTACAGTAATAAATAAGATAGAGTACAGTAATAAATAAGATGGATTACAGTAATAAATTAGATGGTTTAGGTTAATAAATAAAATGGATTACAGTTATAGATAAAATGGATTACAGTAATAAATAGATGGATTACAGTAATAAATAGATGGATTACAGTAATAAAGAAGATAGAGTACAGTAATAAATAAGATAGAGTACAGTAATAAATAAGATAGAGTACAGTAATAAATAAGATGTATTACAGTAATAAATTAGATGGTTTAGGTTAATAAATAAAATGGATTACAGTTATAGATAAAATGGATTACAGTAATAAATAGATGGATTACAGTAATAAAGAAGATATATTACAGTAATAAATAAGATGGATTACAATTATAAATAAAATAGATTACAGTTAAATAAAATGGATTACAGTAATAAATAAGATGGATTACTGTAATAAATAAGATATATTACAGTAATAAATAAGATATATTACAGTAATAAATAAGATAATTACAGTAACAAGATAGATTACAGTAATAAATAAGATGGATTACAGCAATAAATAAAATAGATTACAGTAATAAATTAGATAGATTACAGTAATAAATAAGATGGATTACAGCAATAAATAAGATGGATTACAGTAATTAATAAAATGGATTACAGCAATAAATAAGATAGATTACAGTAATAAATAAGATAATTACAGTAACAAGATAGATTACAGTAATAAATAAGATGGATTACAGCAATAAATAAAATAGATTACAGTAATAAATAAGATGGATTACTGTAATAAATAAGATATATTACAGTAATAAATAAGATAATTACAGTAACAAGATAGATTACAGTAATAAATAAGATGGATTACAGCAATAAATAAAATAGATTACAGTAATAAATTAGATAGATTACAGTAATAAATAAGATGGATTACAGCAACAAATAAGATGGATTACAGCAATAAATAAGATATATTACAGTAATAAATGAGATAGATTACAGTAATAAATGAGATAGATGGATAATGGATTGATCTTGTGAAGGAGATTTTCAACATTCATAAAACCAGATAAACAATGTATAGAAGAAGGTAGCAGCAGCAATGGAACAGCAGTTTCTAATTATTTTATTTACATAAAAACAATAAACAGACTGAATAATGTACAAGTCTAGGTTTTCTTTGCAACAGTTACAGATGAAAGATGATCCACGTTGTCTCGATTTGTCTCAGCGGCGATTCGAGCATCCGTAGGCTGCACAAATTCAGTCATGTTGACCCTCAAGCTTCACAATTAATAAAAGTGTAGTTCTGCAAACATAAATCCAGAACTGTCCTGTTTTAATGTATCCCAATATAAGTTTTGTGTAACAAACCAAGACGCTTAAAAATCACGGGCAATTCAGCATTGATTTACTTAAAATAAAACGAGCGACTCCCACTGAAGTAAATAGTCAACTTTGTTTTGCTAAGCAGTGCACCCACCGTAGCCTCGTCATCTCTAAGCCAAGTTAGACAGCTAATAAATACAGAAACA